TCTGACGGCGCAAGGTCAGGCGAGTATGGTGGGTGTGACAACACATCCCATCCAAGCTCCAATAATTTTTGATGGGTGATCAAACTTGTGTGTGGTCTCGCATTGGCGCAATGGAATACAACTTGTTTACAGTTAACAAGCTCTGGACGTTTCTGGATGACGGATTCCTTTAAACTGTCCAGTTGTCGACAAATACACATTCGAATTGATTGTTTGGTTCCTTGGTAGGCGCTCAAAAAACACGACACCTTTAAAATCCCACCACACTGAGAGCATAACCTTCCTCTGATGAATATCTGCTTTCGATGTCGTTTGAGGCGAATCATCACGTCGAGACCAAGACCGTTTGTGTACCACATTGTTGTAAACAATCCACTTCTCATCACCAGTTATCAGTTACTTCAAAAAAGAATCGTTTTCCTCACGTTTAATGAGTGTATTGCAGATGTTTATACGCGCCATCAAATGAACTTCCTTGAGTTGATGTGGAACCCAAATATCGAGCTTGCTTACGTATCCCAGCTGCTTCAGGTGGTCGTGAATGCTTGTGTGATGGATGTTCAATGTTTCTGCAATCTCTCATGTCGTGTAACATGGGTTTGACTTGATCAGTGCCTTCATTTTGTCGTCATCAACCTCGGTGGGCCTCCCTGACTGAGGAGCGTCGTTGAGATCAAAATCACCAGCACGGAATTTCGTGAACCATCATTGGCACTGACGTTCTTGTAGAGCATTGTCACCATAAACTTTATGCAACTTTTCACAAGCTTGACGAGCATTCTTCCCTTTCTGGAAGTAAAACAGTAAAATATGGCAAAAATGCACAGTTTGGTCTTTCATCTTCAACTTGTTGTAAAATCTCCAAAACTCAACCAAATCATTCAGTTTTTTTTAGAATGAAGCTAGAATTGGCACATGTCAAATGACATAGCAATAACATAGATGCAAATGACTCTAGAACTTCCAAAAATGAACTAGTGCCATCTGTCGCAAACATGCATCACGCCTTTTCCGACAACCCAATAGAATATAGATTTTTCTTTTTATATTTTATATCATGAAAAAACAAGTCTTCTGGTGAAAGGTTCAACTTTGTGGTCCTTGTTTAATTTTTTTCATTTATTCTTTAGGTATGATCCTGATATTCTGCTAGGATATGAGGTTCAGATGCATTCCTGGGGTTACCTCTTACAGAGGGCTGCTGCTTTAAGTATTGACCTATGTCAGATGATCTCTCGGGTGCCAGGTAGGTAATGTTGTGAATGTTTATATTTCAACTACAGAACAAATTACAAAAATAAAAACAAGATGTTAAAAAGTACTATTGTTCTAGCCTAACTTTTAATACTAAATTATGTAAGTCCTAGATAGATAAGTCCATTACAGAAAAATTTAAAAATTAAGAAAAGAAAATGTACTCCAATCTCACTACTGTATATACTGTTAGTGTATTTGTTTTTTTCCTTTTAGTCATTTTTATACATTTATTGGTCTTTATTTTTTATATAACTTTAATCATACATGTATCTCATTTTTATTATGCTTCCTTCATCCAGCATCTTACCATAAGTATTTTTCTATTATGAGATAGATTTCATAATCATTATGAAGCACATAACATTTCTTTTACTTGATATACTATAATTTTATTTTCTTTGGTTTATGTTTTAAGCTGTTCCCCAAGTCTGATTCTGACTGAAGAGGGGGGAAATAATGATATTCATATCAAAATTATAGTTTATAAAGCACTTTTTAAAATTGTGGTTTTATATAACCACAGAATTTTTAATAACTTTGTTTTAAAGGCTCCCCATAAGTCTGACTAGGACAAAGTAGCATGTACTTCGAGAGGCTAGAAGACCAAATAGTAATTTGGTAAAAACTAATCAAGAGACCTTCTGGGAGAGGTTCTGACTTCAATAAAATGTCTTTAAGTGTTGGAAAATTTAAAGGGAAAACTTGAACCTAGAAGATTCAGGACAATAAAATGTAGAGCTTTGCAAAAGCTTTGAATAAAAAGGCAGAGTACTTTACATTTAATTTTTCATTCCACAATTTTTTTGTAGCTTTTGTGTCCCTTGAGTGATAGGAATAGTGGTTCGTCTCAATTCTTTCAATAGCTCATTTGGGCTAGGTTTCTAAATATTCAGGAGAGGCAGCAGGAGTATTCAGGTGCACTTATTAATTAGTTTAATTAATTGTAAGAGGTAAGATCTATGACTTCAGATCAGAAGAGTGAATGAAAGCTTTGTCCTTTTAAAATCACTGCTGAAACCATTTTTATGAGGCAACATGCATGGTACAATAGAAAGGGCCCAGTAACAGAGACAGTATAATAAAAGCATAGATGCTGGAGAAAGACTGCCTAGGGTCAAATCCTGGCTATACTATTGACTAGCTATGTGATATCAAGCAAGTTACTTAACCTATCCATACCTCAATTTATCTGTAAAATGGGGATGATAATAGAACTTATCTCAGGGTGACTGGGAAGCACTTAAAACATGAGAACATAGCAAATATTATATAAGTGTTTGTTAAATGAAAAAGAAACTTTCGAACATTATCTCTTTAAAATAAAGAAGAGTGGGGTGCTGTGTGTACATGGTCTTTGGAATCAGATAACCCTGGTTTACGATACTGGCTCTATTACTATATGACCTGGGGCAAGATATACCATTTCTAAGTAGAATTTACTACAATGCAGAGTAAAAGGTACACTAACATAAAAAGGGGTTGTATTAAAATTAAAGAAATAATGTTAGTACATTCTTAGACTATAATAGATGTTCAATATATGGTAAAAATTATTCCAGAGCCTCTAATGAACATTTGTATATACACAGTGCTATATAAGAGAAAATACTTTAATTTCTATCTGAGGTAAAATCATCACTTAAGAAACTAGACTCAGAACTCTATTTGCTATAAGAGAACTCTCCAGCTCCCTACACAGTTAAGAGAATTTCATCCTGAACATGAACATCATTAATTGATGTCAACACATTTTCAGAGAATTGTTTAGATTGAAAACTAACGTATTTTCCAAGAAATTTAACAGCAGACATTTTTCATTCTAGCACAAAACAAATGCTGTGGCATTAAGTATTCATAAAAATAGCACCAGGAATTACCAGATTTAAAGGGACAAGAGTTTATTATTTTTAAAAAATGTGTGTGTGTGTGTGTGTGTGTGTGTGTGTGTCAACACACACACTTATTAAAAAATGGTTTTCGGGTACATTTCACAAAATGCTCTCATTTAAAGAGGAAATAAAAATTATTTTTATTAGTCGAAATAATGATTATTCTCCAAGTCTAAACAAAATAGACTGTGAATTGCATTTCATCTTTAATCTTCATCTTTAATTTTTATTCTCATTTCTTTTACATAATTTGCTTGGAAATTTGGTTTCTGTGAGCCTTGATGCAATCTATATTCATTTCTATAGATGACAAAATTGCGAACAGATTTGCAGCTGAAAGAGATGACTATGGATCAGATACAATGAGTGAGATAAACATTGTTGGCCGAATTACTCTAAATCTTTGGAGAATTATGAGAAATGAGGTAAGATGCTTTAGCTAAAATTTTGTTTGGAAATAAGAGATTATCTCAACAATTTTAATCATTATGTTCTATCAGTATAGCTTACTGTATAACTTATACCTCTTTGTGAATTATTTTTACTATACTTATGAAGAGTTACAAAAGTACCACTTTGTAAAATACAAAGTTACAGAAGTATTTAACTTTAATGTTATTGATGAATTTTAATTTCTTCCTATTTGTGTCTAAGGTAGCAGTAGCTAGAAAAGTCTGTCGGTATCTAAATATTATGGTGTATTGTATGTATGTGTTGAATTTTATCATTTTTTTGCACCAAAATCAGTTTTGCACTTAAGGCCAGATGAATTCAGTTCGCCTTTTCTTATTCATTACAGTAAGAAAACTTTAATCTAGACATGGGAAGGAAAGTTTCAAACTAAGGATATTTAAAAATAGGGTCAAACAAATAAGGTATATTGGAAAGACAGTACTTGGAAATAGTTAATAGCAGCATCCAGTGAGACTTTGGGAGCCCAGGTAAGGATTTTTCATAGTATGAATTTCCACACACTATCTCATTAATTTGCCATCATTCAGAGAAATAATTCTTTCACAAAAAATGTAAGATTATAGGGCCGGCCGAGTGGTGCGCTAGTTAGGCGTTGTCTTGGGATGCCGGCTCTGAGCAGCAGCGCCCCCAGTTTGGATCCCACCTGAAGGATCAGTGATGCTGCTCCCTCTGCAGCCAGGATGGTGAACAACAGCTTGAGCTGTTCCCCTCCCCCAATTCCCCAATAAAATCTTAAAAAAAAAAAAAGTAAGATTATAGGATTCTAGATCTTATTATATCCTTGAAGTTACCTGATTTTTCTTACTGAAATGTAAAAATGATACCCTACTGTAAATTGGTTTATTGTCAGATTTTGAACTTGGGATAATATCAGATAAAATGTTTATATTTTTTAAAAGAAAGCTCTGTTCTTCACTTGCTTTTCCTCTTTGAAACTACTTTCTCATTATGCACTTTCTATGATACACTCATTCACTATGATGATTCTGGCTCTTCTAGATTTATATAAAACATTTGACTTTGTAAGCATGCCCTCTGTAATTCTTTTGGGCATTATTATTGCACAGTAATTCTTTCAGATAAGAAAATACGGTCTTTATATCAAATTCAGGTATCCCCATTTTTAAAAAAATTTTCTCTGTGCATTTTGAGCCTAAAGTTATGCTCACATTTCATCTAATTTGAAAATGTATGATATATGTAGCCTCTTGAAAATAATTTCATTCTGTTGTCTTTAAAATATCAGCAAAAAGAACCCCCAGTGACTTCAAAATAATTTCTAGTGACACAAAATAGGATATAAAAGGTACAGAGACTATGGTGTGTTAGGTTTGTATATTCCATATTATATTTCAAACTGCAGTCTCTGATATTGCCAGGGAAGAACACATAAATCAAGTACATGATATAAAATTCAATTTTTGAATCTTAGTTTCAGGGGTCTTTTTATCCATGAAGGATCTGTAGCAATTACCCATTATTAGTTTAAAATCACAAATTAGAGAGTAAATATTTTTCAAAGTTTAGAGCTTTCTTTAGTCCTTAATGAAAATTCAAAGGCTTTCTCTAATTCTAGGCTGAACATATAGCATCTCTGTTCTTTATTTGTAAATGTGGGGAACAACTGTGAGAAAATTATGAGTTGGATAATTTACCCCCCGCTTCCCAGATGGGCCAAATTAGATTATCACTTATTTTTCTAACTCAAAGTACTCCTGGCAATTTGGAGATTTCCATGAGATCGTGAATGAACCTGTGGGAAGGACTGTCTTGTATCTCAAGCTGTCCTGGAACTTTCAGGGTTATGACTGGACAGAAGCTGGCCCTGAGAATTTTCTTCATGTTAGAGGCCCTCAAGCTGTTTTTTCTGGATTTCAACAGTTCCAGAGGCTCTTTTTTATCTTTATTTCTTTTATCTGTTTCTACCTCATGACAGTTAGCAGTTTCTAACTTCTGTTATTGTTTTTTTTAATCCTTATAGTTTGTTTTTACAATATGCTTTTTAAAAAATAATTTATATTCACTATAAAAAATAAATTCAGAAAACTATATAAAATGAAGGTGAAATCCCCTCGTTCTCTTTAGGACATTGACTCAACAGTTGCTCGCGCACCCACACACAAATACAGTTTAGAGTTGAATGGATATTTTTTATCTATGCCTAGTTTGGGTTTTTAAAAATTTATTTTTTAATATGCTAGTTTTCATTCTCCTGCTTAACTTTAACACAGAATTACTGCTGCTCCCTCTGGACTTTGAATCCTCAATAACACAATGCCTGTTACATAGTGCTCCTGACACATTTGTTCACTGCTTGAATGAAAGAATGAATTACTCTTTCCTGGAAAACTATATTTAGAGGCCTTCTAGATATCAAATTAGTCCACAGCTTTTAAGAATTTGCCAAGTACGTTGGAAACATCTGATTCAGTTCATTCAACAAATGTGTATTAATAAAGTACCATCTCCAGTGCACACATTTGGGCCTGGTTTAGATCAAGTAAGACTACAGCGGGTCCCTCTATTTTAACAGGCAGGGAGGCAGATTATGTTGGTGCAGATGTTGGAAGGTGGGTAGATAGGCAGTGCAAATCTGTGGACATTCTCCCCTGATTGCTTCAGTTTTCTCAGTGAAATAGGCTTCTGGGGTTTGAGGAAAGAAAAGCATGAAATAGTTATCTAGGAACATTTGAGAGTAGACAGTTGAGAAAATATAGTATGAGAGCTAGGCAGCATTGAGAACCCATTTCAGATTTGCATTAGGAAATTAAAGTGATACCTGCCAGCTATGATCAAATTCACAGATATAAGGGCAGAGTAACAGGGTTAGATTTTACTACACTACATAAGCAAAGGGTTATGGCTTGCTAAAATTTAATTGACTGATCAACTAATTACAGATGAAGCAGGAGAGGGGCAAAGAACTGAATGGTATGTGCAAGGTTGTGGTTATAATGATTGACTGGAATTTGTGCTAGATAAGGGGAGAGGTCCGGACCCTAGAGGGAGTAAACTGGAAGGATAGGAGATAGTGGTCAGAAAATGGGATGTATGAGGTTATGGAGAGGGTACAATTATTGGAATAATAGATCTTGGAGTATGATTGTGGGAGTGGGTGGCTAAGGTGGGATGGAGGCAGTGACATGAATTTACCCCTGAGAGCTATCTGTCTAGCAATGTACAAGAGGACAAGGTCAGAGGTAAGAAAACCAAAGAGAAGGGCCGGCCAAGTGGCTGTTGGTTAGGAGTTAGCTTGGGATGCCAGCTCTGAACAGCAGGGCCCCTGGTTCAGATCCCACATTAGGGTGAGTGATGCTGCGCCCTCTACAGCTAAGATGGGGAACAACAGCTCAACCTGGAGCTGGGCTGCTGTGAGTTGCCAGCGACGGCATAGGCTGCAGTGGGGCTGGTGGGCAGCAAGCGTGAGCTGCCGTGAACGGCCGTCCAGTGGCTGGTGAGCAACTGCCTCACCCAGGAATAGCGCAATGATAACACCAACATGGGCCAATGAAGCGGCGTCCTCCACAACTAGACTGAAGAACAAAAGGACAGCAACATGTCTGTTCCCCTTCCCCAGTTCCCCAATGCTGTTCCCCTCCCCCAATTCCCCAATAAAATCTTTAAGAAGAAAGAAAGAAAGAAGAGAGAGAGAGAGAGAGAGAGAGA